TGTGTCATATTTCAAACATTCAAATTAACAATTTTAATTCTTATTTAAATTAACAATATGAATTATTATTATTCATTTGGCCCATAAATTATTATTTGGTCAATATAACAATATAAATAATTCAGTATATTTGTAATAGGAATTTATTATTTCAGGGGCTTATATCTCGCGAAGGATCACGAGTAGGGGTATGGTTCCTTTAACTTTATTGTTCGCACAGGGGCTACAGTTTGGGGGGGTCGCCACCTCTTCATTCGGAGGGTAAATCTTACCATTGGGACTTTAACAGAGCTGTACAGCATATTGATAGGAACAAAAAAGTCAAAGGAACCGTGCCTCATGGAAATTTGTAAAGAACGCCCACTAGGGGGCGTCCCGGGCTACTAGTGTTTGTATATTTTGTTTGTGATACAGGATATCAATAATTTGTAGTGTTGGAAGACATGTAATTGGTCTGTATTGTGTGGGGTCTGTGGTGGTGTTGTTTTTAGGTTTCATGTAGGTGATGCCCTGAGTAAGAAATTTTGGCATGTCTTGTGGATTGACTATGATGTGTGTTAGATGTTTAGCTAGTTCCTGGTGCAGTGATGTAAACTTTTTGTACCAGAAATTGTGAATGTTGCTAATACCAGGTGTCCAGTTGTGTGTTCTGTTAACAGCATAGTGGATGTTGTGTATGTTTATTTCAACACAGGGCATAGTTGATATGTTGTGCATGTTTCTGTTCTCCTCCTCGATTTAGACTGCATTAGCATTGTGTGTAACAACATTGGACCAAAGAGAAGACCAATAAGTTGTGAGTTCTTCTTCTGTTGGTGTGCCACTATGCTTTGTATCAGTGTTTGTTTTAGTACTGACTTGTCTGTAGAAGTTGTTTGTGAATAATTTATCTTGTTGTTTTCGTAGTGTGCCTGTTTTGTATCGTTTGAGTCTATGTGCTTTGGCTGTGAGTTTTTGTTTTAGTGTATCGATGTATTCTGTAATGTGTGTGTTGTGATGTTTGTGTTTTGTGTGTGTTTTGATTTTCTTGAAAATGTTTTTGAGTTGTTTCTTTAATTTGGGTGTTGTGAACCGCCAGGGAAGTCGGGGATGGTCGGACCTCCCTTTCTGGCCACTTGTCAAGATGGCTATGCTACGATTTCTGGTCCCGAGAGTCGGGACTTCTGCTCTATGTCGGTCAAGTGGAGGGTGAGTAATTGGGGTCAATGATAAGGCGTAGGCAGTATACCAGTAAAGGAGTATACCGTTTAACAAATAAAACAAGTTTATTTCCACTACACAAGATCGACAAAACTATAAACACTAATCTTGACGTTAAAATGCCTAAAGGCTCAAGAAAGTTTACATGGGTTTTCATACCTCTTTGTAGGTTTTCACAAAGATTTGAGTTCATTAATGGCACAAAAATATCCAACATGTGGGTTTTTTAGGGTAATCCAAATTGGCACAAGTATAAAAGTTTGCGACTGTGGCAAAGGACAGTATCAATGTTGGAGCTTCGGAATTTATGGCGGGTTCGGAGATTCAACTTGACAGAATCCGATGACATCGGTCCGGCTTTCGTTAAGAGACTTCCCAGAGAGGGGAAAGGAAGCATCTTTTATAGCTTTTTGCTGGGAAAATCAGTCACATGATTGGTTGTTATAGGAGATAAAGGTTATAGCTGTTCCCGGGACCCAAAACAAATGATGAAATTTGGATGCTAACTATAAACTTTTGTGCAAGTCGAGCTGAAGGCTGTGTGGGAACAATAGAATGTTGATACAAGGTCTGTTCAAAAAGTATTGGACCCTTTTTTTTCCGCGTAAACCAATGATGCGCGAGAGGCCTCCTTCGATGGAGTTGTGGAGGGGACAGTCATGCACAGCCCTGAATTTTTTCCTGCCTGCAGGAAGCGTCAGTCGTTGGCAATCGGCCTATGAGTGAGGTCATGTAGTGCGCTCTCGTCGAATTCCACTAAGCTGGAAAAATGACTGAACAACGTGAGCAGCGATATTACATCAAATTTTGCCAAAAACCTTAAAGATACCCGAGCGTAAACCATTCACAAGATTCAGCAGGCTTTCGGGGATGATCCTTGAGGCCAAAAAAAGCGCGGCAGGTCCGCAGAAATATCAAAAGTCATGTTGACAGTTTTTTCGACTCTCGTGGGGTGGTGTGTCATGAGTACGCACCACAAGGCCAAACCATCGCAAAGGAGTACTACCAGGAGGTCCTTCGTCGTCTTTCCGATGCTGTGCGACGCAAACGACCGAATCTGTGGTCGATCAAAACTTGGCAGCTCTATCGTGATAACGCATCCGCCCATTCTGTGCATCTGATTCGGGTTTTCGTCGCCAAACATAACACTCCTGTGGT